TTTCAAGGGGTGCGAGGGTTTATGAAGTAAACACGCTGTAAGGCTCCAAAGCTAGATGAACGCACTACTCACGAGAAGGATAGACCTAAGCCTAGCAGGACACAGTTCATGACGCATGGCAAAGGTTTGATAAAGGACGGGACTGCTGTTTAGTGGCTTTGGTGGATGCTCTTCCTAAGCTACACATGTTAAGCCTCGCATGCTTCGAAATTGAAGATTTATAGGTGCGGCATCCGCCCGCGAACTGTCTCACTGGCATGTTTGCTTGAAGATAACCTTGGACATCCGCAACATGATGGCCTCTTGAAAGAGGTCCCGGCGAAGCAGTCCGAAACACGAGGTTGGCCCCATGCCCAAGAACCTCAACCCGACAGAGATCCTGAAAGTACACATGTTTCCATGCGAACCAGGCCTCAAAAGCAGAGATGCACAGGGACAGGAACTTTGGAGCACGGCAAAATCGGTGCAGGATCGTGGTCGTGGTTTAGGACTTATTGGTGCAAGGCCTTTTCGGTGGTGCGCCATTGCACGGTCATATCTTCATCCAGCATCTTGAGAGCTACTTAATTTTCTTGTCTCTAAGAACTTTTTGCACTCCTGCTTTCGATACAAAAGCAACTCACTCAATGCTTAAGCCCCACAGCCTCTGAAAGCCCCGCCCCTGTCGATTTAGGATGTAGGCTTTGGTTTTCACGTAGCGTGCAAGGATCCCAGGATTGCAGCCAAATCCCAAATCCAAAAAACAAAAGCCTGAACACAGAAACCCAAAATTTGCCAAAAGCGACCAAACCCCCCTTGGAGGCCCTTCCCCAACTCCACGAACCCCCACGCCCTCCTAAAACCCGCCATAAAACCTCCGAAGCCTTTTTAAGCATTGTGGAAACCTAAACCGCTAGCGGGTCTAGAGTTTTGGACCCTTGGGGTGTATGTAAGGCAGGGCCTTAATGGCCACTGGAGAATGCGGCTCAGAGCCCTGCGGTTTGGGAGTTCTGGGCTTAGGAAAGTCTAGGGATTAGGCCTACACCCTGAAAAAACCCCAGACATTGCAGCCGGTTGCGAGCTTTCCGGCCGCAGCAGGAAGTGCCAAAGTGTGGAGATAGCAATCGCGAAGGATAAAGGGCCCACCACCAACTGCACAGGGCTTTGTGTTTAGGGTTTGGAGGGGTTAGGATGAAGGGTTTGGGGTTCAGGGTGCCTGGAAAGTGACAAGCAAAAACAGGGGGATGGAGTTGAGAGTGTTGAGGCTCAGGTTCGGGGTTCGCCATGGCCCCGGGGGTTAATGGCTTGGGGTTTTGGGCTCAAATTACAGTCTGGAGGTTTTGACAGAAAGGGCTCGTTTCTCTTGGGCCTTTGACATATGTCTATGATGTGCATCGGACGCTGACGGATGCAAACCCAAAACGCATAATCCTTAAGCCAGAAGCAAAAACTTCAACCCCCCAACCCTCAACAGCAGCAAGAACCCAAAACCGCAAGCCCTAAACCCAAAGTCGGCCAAGCGCGCAGAAGGATTCGCTTCTAGGATGCTTCCACAGAAGGCAGAAAGGCGGAACATCCGCATCCTCATGCTTTTAAGGTGCAGCACAGGGAAGCCCGGCACAGCAGCACTAGTCATCTTTAGCCAATGTACCAACGAGTGCAAGCGCGAGATTCCGCTCCCCAGGGCCAACCGTCCACCCGCCAACGTGCACCAAACCTTTAAATCCTGACAAACTAAATCCCAAACATCTAATTCTAAGCCCTCGAGCTTGAACTACAGATCTTTAAACCATGAAGCCTGAACCCTAATGCTTTAGTCCCTGAAGCCTGGACACCAAACTTTTACATGTAAAGGATCCCTATAGAAACCACTAATAGAAGCAGCACGGTCCGAGTTGCCACCAAAATTTCTGGCCAAGAGGGCTGCAACAATAAGCCTTGGACGTGGGTTGTATGACGGCTTTATATGAGTTCTTGTCAGCTTGGTCAAGTGCTGTCGTGCGGTTGTTATACGGGTTTTGACCGGGTCTTCTTAGGCTTCACAGGGTGTTATATAAAGGCCTCACGGGGTTTTTCAAGAGTTGCTAGAGGTGTTGTAGGGTAGAGCCACAGGCCCAGAGGCAATGAGTCAGCACCTGACGGGAGTATGAATCATCGCACCGGCGTATTTGCTCGCCGAGGCGGCCCCTCAAAAAACAAAAACCCCGAAAGCCCAAAACCCATCAAAACCCAAATCCTGAAAGATCTTCGACCCTCAATCCCTACAACCCTCAACCACCGGCCTCGGACCCAAAAGCTTTTCCGGTATTATGTTATCCTTATGATTGGTATCTTTACTACTATTGTGTTGATATTATGTTTCTTATAAGAGTTATTCCTATATTTATTGTATGTACTATCATTGCCATTATTAGTACTGTTAGTACCTTTTTTCGTGATACTACCGTGGTTTTTGCATTATTCTTATTAATATTCTTACTAGTGTAAGATAAGTATCAGTATTAGTATTAGTATCAGTATTAGTATTGGTATGAATATTTCCATTAATATTAGCAGTAGTTAGTATTAGCATCAGTTGGCATTAGCAGTAGTATTGTTATTATTATTGTTATTACTATTGCCCTGATTATTTTTTACTACTATCATTATTGATGCTCTTGTTATTATCATTGTTCATATCTTTTATTTAAATCGGAAGCCGGGCCCAGGCTGTTGCTGCGGAACTGAATCTTTCGGTGAAGGAACTTATTTCATTTTCGATGCTTCAAGGGCTTCGCAGGGTTCAGGGTTCAGGGTTTAGGAACTAGAACTTAAAGCAAGTATCATAACAAGGGAAGCACTGCGCTTACCATAATTACACGCCTAGTATGATGTTTACATTTCCATTCTTCAATAACCAAGGGATGCGAATTATTGTGGCACGGCACTTTGGGGGTACACAACCTTTGGTTGCGGACTGCAGCATGCAATCTAAATTCGCACGTATCTGCATACTTTGAAGTTTGAAACTGAACACATCAAACCCCAAACCCCAAGAAACGTATAAACATACATGTCAAACGTGTACTTATACTCGTATACACACACGCACACATGGACTGATTTGCTGCCCGTGTGTTTGTTTATATAGAACCCCAGACCCAGAACCTAAATTCCACGCCCTGAATCTGTGACCGGTCGCTGAGCAAAAGCCAGGCCGTTGCCAGCGTCAGAATCTGAACAAAGATCGGAATCTGCACCTGGCTTAATGCTTATAACAAGGGCTCTGTCAAGCTTTTCCCAAGGCTTCATACAGGCACTGAAGGGCTTTAGAGTGTTTGTTATGCAGTTCTTGTGCAACAAATCAGGGTTTAGAGTTTGAAAGGGCCTCGGAAAGGGCGTTGTGCAGGGTCTTAGCAACTCTTGTCTCACGTACAAGGGCAGCATAGAGTAGGAGTCGTCAGAATTTTCGCGGAGATCCGGTGCTTGCATCTGCCCTAAAAAACTAATGACTTTTAGACCCAAAAGAAACCTCAAAACTGTGGTGGGGCTTTGTCTTCAGATGCGCCACCATGGGGTTGTGCTCTTCTTATGATTCGACACTGAATTGAAGGCATTGGCCTTTTTCGGGGGGAATTTGTTGAAATCGGCTTGTGGTTTGGGAGTTGCCTGAAGAGTTGGGGTGTGGGGTTTAGAACTTGGAATTTTGGAGTTTGGGTCGGGGGTTTATGCAGGCTTACCGTCGATCTTGGGTGCAGTGTCGTTTGATCCTCTCAGCAAAGCTTCAGCTCAGAGTCTCGGACCCCTCGGTTCTCAACATGACTATGACTGACATAGGGGCCTTCATGATGATAATAGGGGTTTTGGGGTATATTCTAGCATAGTTATAATAAGGAACCCCCCCAAAATAGCATCAGTATAGGTAATTGCTAAGGCCCCTATATAGTCTTCTCGATTTCGGTGATCCGTTTGCGGTGCGCTGTCAAGGCTTCGGGCATGAGAGCTGCGTTTTGGTTTCCAAACTAGAGCTCCCTGCACGGAACCTCTGTACCACGAATAACTTGGGTTTAGGGTTTAGGGTGTAGGGTTCTACAAACATATTCCGAATGAGACACCCGAAGGCATAGATCCCTATCTCCAAAAAACTGAGCCCGAACGAACCCTGAAATGGGTCGGTGAAGATGTTCGAAGCCTTTCTGCTTAGCTTGTTGTCTTCGGGAAGCCACTGTAACAAAACCCAAAAACCGCGAAAGCTTGCGCCTAAACACTCCGCGCTCTCAGCCCTGAACCCGAAGCCCTCAACCCGAAACAGGCGGCCCAACCTACCTCAAAGACAAGAGTTCAGAGGCTAGAAACCCTACAAAGGAAAATACCTAAACTCAAAAACTCAACACTCACCACTGAACCCTAGACCCCAGAAACCCTCAAGCCCTTCACCCCAAACCCTACAACACCCGAATCTAACGAGGCGAGACACCCCTCTGAGAGCAGAATGAAACATCGCCCGCGGCATCGACAGGCGCAGAAGACCTGCAGTACCGCGTTGTAGATTCCATACGGACCCTACTATAAAACCTATCTAAAGGACGCCGTGAAGGGTATAATAGGGTTCTTTGATAGGGTCCCCTCAAGGGTCCTTTCCTTTCAAGGGCCCCTTCAGTTTAAGGGTTGCTCTAAGGGTTCTTATAAGGATTCCCCTGTCAAGGGCCCCTTTGATTGAAGGGTTGCTTTCAGGGCTCCTGTAAGGGTTCATTTAAAGGTTCCTTTCAAGGAAGCGCTTGTAACTAACTCTTGGAAGTCTTCCAGTGTGACCTGTCTCAATTCTAACACTGCAACGGTGTAGCTGTTATAATGTTATAAGTAGATTAGCTACTCGACTAACCTAATTCAATCAAGGTACGTACAACCCCAGATTTACCATTTGTGCCTGATGATGGCTGGATGGCGCAAACATGGCGGAGCTCAACCTAAATAGCTTCAAGATCAGTTATCATGAGGGACCCCTTGCGCAAAGACACTTTACAACCGTTCGGAAGAGGGGCCCATGGAGGTGTCGGCGCGGAAGTCCAGCGGCTCACCCTGGGAATCCAAGAGCTCCAAGGTGTTGAAGTGTAGAGGTCGGGCACCTGGGATTTTTGGGCGCTTTTGGCTGAGGGTTTAGGCTTTGGAATTTGGGTGTCATAGGTGGTGTTGCTTCAAGGTTCCCTTGTCGCGTTTAAGGTCTGCGTTTAAGGCTTCTGGCTTCTGGGTTGGATGAAGTTTAAGGATGGAAATTTTTGTGGCAGAAGGCCCCTCAAGGGTTCTTGGCTGATTTCAGAGCTATGCCAGTTATGCAGGCTTTTGGGGGTCTGGGCTTGAGCTTTGTGGTGGGTTGAGGGGCTTGTGGGGGCGAGGGTTCCATAAGGAAGGGAGCTATAAAGGCTTTAGCCAGGATTCCATAAGGGCCTGGGTTTACGGTTTAGGTCTGGGCTTTCAGGTTCAAAGCTTAAGGTTACTTGTCTCAGGGTTTAAGCTTGGTTGGGGGCTTCGGGACTTGAGTTGAGTTTTGGGTTTGAGGTTCAGGGCGTGGGTGGGGATGGAGTTTTGTGGTGCTGTCCGGTACTTGAGCTTCACATGGTTTCTATGACGCGTCATAAGGCTGGAGGGTTGCGTAGGCGTTAAAGCCATCAACCTGAAAGCCTAAACCTTCGCCGAAATTGTATAAATTCCATATCACCCCAAAAGCTGTGCAGCAACTCTGCTTCTGACATGTTAAACTTTCGGCCTGCACTACATTGCGGACGAAATGATAGTAATATCCACTTAGAGTCCGTGCACAGTTCTACTATGTTATACTGTAACATCCCAAGCCCGATTCCCCTTATACTCCAAAGCACGGAAGTCGACTCTCTTCTCCGGCGCGGAATCCTCGGGAAACTTTGGGTCTGTGCTTACTTGGTGGCTTAAGGTTTGGGTTGTTTTCGTGGAGAGAGGGGGGGCGGTGGCGTTACGGCGAAAGGTTCAAGCTTTAGAGTTAGGATTTTTGATCTTTGTGGGAGACTCAGTAATCATTTTCAGCTTGACCAGTGTGACAAAAACAGAGGTCCCTGGGTGCTACCTTCTAGAAGCCGTACGGGAGCCGGTCAAACCTTCTTGGGGAACCTGGAAGCTAAACCATAACTGAAACTGCTGCCGAAGGCACCAGGAGGAAGTGGCCCGTAAACCAGAGAGTCACGGGTATCGAATGATTCGGTGCGAGCATGAAGAGGTTGTGATGACCGACGACCTGGAGACCAACTACAATAAATCGAAGACTCTGAGCACTAAGCCCAAACCAACACCGACCCCTGATAAAGAAGTCTGAGTTGTTGGACCAGTCTGGCACGGGGCAAAGGGACTAAAACCCTCTAAAACTTCCCGGGAATTTGTGCGACAACGATGTTCGGACATCCGAAGAATTCAAGCCCCTGCATTATCTCACTGGGGGATAGATAAAAGCCTCTTCACTAAATTGACACCACACCGAACCAACCCAAAAAAACATGACCAAAAAATCCATCAAAAAAAGACAAACTCGCAACATCATTGAAAATCCTCAACCCTAAAACCTACGTGAACTCTAGACACCCCAGTCCTGAACCTTAACATCCTCAAACTCTACTTACCCCCTCAAATCCTAACCCCCCATAAACCCCGAGAAACCTAATACCTTAATCTCACGTCCCACACCCCCAAAATCTACCAAAACCTCTGACTGTGAGGCTTTAGGGCTCCTGCAAAAATTGTTTATTCCCTAAACCTTAAACTCACGGCATAGGCCGCCAACCTGTTTTTACTGTGGGTGGGCGGCGCCCGCCTTAAGTTTCGAAGTGATGTGCCGGAGCACATGGGTCGGCAAACCCATGTGCAAAAGCACATCTTCCCTGCGTCGGCCTGCACGCTCAATGTGAAGCGCCTGCAAGGCACAGCTTTGCCGGAAGAAGCCCAGGCGCTGTCCTGTTTGCCTGACGTGCTGGCGGTCCCTTCGCAGTCTTCGTCTTCGGGAGAAGCAGGCGCGGAGGCACCTCTTCGACGGCGGCAGCAAATCAAACTCGAACCAACCATCAGAAGCCTCGTAGTCGGGGCAGATGATCTCGCGTTTGCCCACTTTGGGCGAAACGGGTAGCGCTTGCATCTCCCAAGCGTGAAACAAAGCAATCGCACCCTGAGTTGCTGTTAAATCACCGCAACTCTGGTTAAAAAAACAGTCTTCACAGTTTACGTGCTCATGAAACGGACACACGCAATCCCCACCTTCCCGAAACCCCACTCAAACTTCCTGTGCTCTTTGCTCCTGCGCAGTTGAGATTGGGACGTGTTTGGGTTGCCCTCTTCGTGTTGGGACTGAGCCTGTATGATCTTAAGGAACATAGGGGGCACGGGGGGGGAGGGGGGGGGACGGGTAAGACCGTGGGGAAAAAGCGAAAATGTGATTTCATAAATGCAGACAAGCTGCCTGCCAAGAACCACGCAAAGGGCAATGCCGGCCATTAATGGGTAGGTGGGGCGGTCTTCGTTCACATGCTTGCCTTCACACCCGGCCTCACGCCACCAAAGCAGGCGCAAGCTTGTGCTGCGGTACACCAAAGCGCAGCGAGGCGCGTGCACTGCGTCTGTCAAAAGGGACGGTGCCGAAACAGACCTTTTCACGGGACCGTCAGCCTCATCTGACAAGGGTTTGCAACGATAGTGGCAGATCCGGATGCCCGCACCTCGCCAGTGTCGAAATCCTGGATGAATGTGTTCGCAACCGTCACCTACGAAAGGACATGCTGAACGTCAGAATCAGGGCCGGCAGTTCAACCAGCTGTAGGGCGCCTTGTGGCTGATGCTTTCCAGCAGGCGCAGGTTTCGCGCTTTCGCGACCTGAGTACAAACATGGAAGCGGCAGTTCTCCAAAACCTGTTGTGGCTCCCCATCCCGGGCATGGCCCTGCAGATGAGGATTTCTTGGGCGAGAACGGGGCCGGTCTTGGGCCTGATATGTGTTTGGGTGCAAGTGCGCATGCGCGCGCGCGCTGAAGCACGCCGGGAGCGTTGCACGGATCCCAGCCAGACCCGGCTGATTGGTTGCGTCAGCATCCTTTCATTACGCGGTTATTTGCACAGGGGCATTAGATGTAAACGGCTTGTCAAACTCGCGGAGAATCTGAGATGCGCACGCCGCACCGAGGCGCGCGCGCTGTATCTGTGGAAAGGATCAACAGCGCCGGAGATGGCCGGTACGCCTCAGCTGGTTCTGCTACAATTAAGGGCTTGCAACGATAGTGGCAGATCCGGATGCCCGCACCTCGCCCGTGTCGAAATCTTGGATGAACGTGTTCGCGATGGTCACCTACGAAAGGACATGCTGAACGTCAGAATCAGGGCCGCAAGTTCAACCAGCTGTAGGGCGCCTGGTGGCTGATGCTTTCCAGCAGGCGCAGGTTTCGCGCCTTCGCGACCTGAGTACAAACATGATACCGGCAGCTCTCCAAAACCTGCTTTGGCAGCGCGCATGCGCGCGCCTGAATCATGCCGGGAGCGTTGCACTGATCCCAGCCACACCCGGCTGATGGGTTGCGTGAGCATCCTTTCGTTACGCGAAATCTGCACGGGGGCATCAGATGTAAACGGCTTATCACACTCCGGTGAACCTGAGATGCGCACACTTCAACGAGGGGGGTGCCAAGACAGCTAGGGATGCTGGGCGGAGGGACGTCACTGCTGCTAGCCACAAAGGAGACAACTCCGCAGGCGGGAAGGTCTACGTCGTGTCGATGTAGCCAGGACTGATCAGCCTGGTTCACACAACACATATGCATTCACTGGTTATCGCATCTATACGTACCTAAGCTTTCCTAAGCTTCGCACAGTACAGCAATCGGCCCCCTTCTGCTTTGATGTGGTGGTGCAAGAAAGTTTCGAAGCAGTCGAGCCGAGCTAGCAAGAAACATTCTGGAAAGCAAGTCACCCCACCTCTGCTAAACCGGTATAGCAGAACCAAGTAAAGCATTGCAGCATAAGCACAAAGTTGTGGGAGCATTCCTTTACCCAGGCTGCGTGCACCTGCCAAAAGCAATTTTCAAATGCCGCCTCGAGCATAGAAGCTCGACCATTCCTTCTTTGCCAAACGGCTGCCGGCAAAGTTGGCAGCTCATCTTTATTGCAAACCGGCATAAAATGCAAAATGCCCTCAGTCAGACAGAAACTTGTTGCCTGCCATAAAAAGTTTGTGAGAACTTTCCTGGCGATGCAAGAAAAATGGTCCTTGGGAGGTGGCCTGCAAAGCAAACAGACTATCACAGGGCAAGCTGTGTGCGCGGGCCTTGTCATCTTGCGGGTGACAAGCATCCGGAAAGGCTAGAGCACCCGGCACAAAGGGCGGGCACGGGTGAGAAGAAAATGCTGTAAAATCCACACCCAAAATCCCAAAAAACAGAAAATTCAGGAACCAAATAACCAAAAAAACAGAAACACAACAATGCCGGCATTATCTGGATGTTTGTTTTTTTGGTGTTTTGGTCTCGTCGTTTGTCTTTAGTGTTGTGCGCCTGCGCTCTTGCCGGAGATCCCCATACCATAGCCCTAAACCCTAAAACCTATGCCAAAGAATAGAGACAGTTCCTTCAAGCTTGATCTACAAGTTTTGAAAACATTCTGTTCTTGAGTGCTCTGGTACCAGTAATCGTTTCAGAATTAAGTGGTTCACTCATTTTTTGTGCTTACACTTGCCCATATGTGCCAGCGATATTACTAAGCCTCAAACATGAGTAACTACTGCAACAAATCTCGCAGAAGTCTCAATCATCAACCATATAGTTAGAATAAACCATATCCTTGCTTGTATAATTTGATAGTTCTGTCATTTCTTACCATTAATTTACATTGGCCCATTACTTCACGACTTCGTACAATCATATATGCAACACCAAGCCACATTGCCGGATAAATGCCGGTATAACCGTAATCTTAACACCACTACATCAAAAATTGAAGTAAATTTGCAAAAAAGACGAACAAATTTCGGCAATGGCATATAATCGCCATTCACAAGCAAACCTATCCAATCGCCACTTCCATTCTCAGCCATACCTACAGTACGAATACATACATTGTGCTATTCGCGAGTTATCGTATCAAGCAGTGCACCGATTTCCCAACGCAAGAGTGATTCACCCAGAAAATGTATTCGGAACAAAGAAGAAATGAAAAGCTGCAGAATGTTTGTTCTCTAGGCAGGTAATACTGAAAGAAGCAGAACGGCAACTCTAACCACAGCAACAAGGATATTGGTAATGGTAACTGTAACATTGGTAAATGTCATACTAAAAATTACTAAGAATACACCGACTGCTCCAGATGGAATTCACATTAGTTCAAGCCAACCAAACATTACCAGGTACTGGTATCCAGTTGTTGAATCCTGTGTAAATTCACAACAGTGCTTTACTAGAACGATGCGCTAATCCGGTACTACATTAAAGCTGGAAAAGTGGTATTGTTGAGAATAAAACTATTTCAATATGTGGCTGCTTGTGAAATTTTTGTATTCAGCATGTGGGTTCTTGACATTTTGCCCCTATACCAACGAGCTTTTACATGCGTGTTCTGAATTGAGTTCATCTGAAGTCTGTGCATGAGTTACAGAAGTCACGTCCATTGCGTCGTTGCTCGAACTGGGTGTTGTCTTTTGTACAAAGTATTGTAAAATCACTGAAAAAACACCTAGCAAATTATGACCATTACACAATCATGTATGCCACAATTGTGTTGTGGACTTCTGCTAATGTATTGATCAGAAATCTGTGCTGTAAGCACCTGTTCAAGCCACACAAACATGAAAGCACAACAACTAGGGACCCCCGCAGGCAGACACAAAGCACACATAAGTCGATATATTCCATATTTATCTTACGAAGCGCGTAACTCAAGCCAGCATATTGGGTGTGCTGTTATTTTTGGTTCTCGGAATGCTGCTTTAAGTGTACAGGCACAAAGTAGCAAGTTTCGATTAGTTCGAGTCTTCCAATAATGAAAAGTTCAGACAAAGGGGAAACCTCCGTGCTGAACAACAAGACGAAGACAATCAGCGAACTGGCCTTCCCTTAGTGACGTCTTCACGCAGAGATTACTGATTAATACCCATATTTTTACAGGACGAAAAGGAAAAGTTCATCACAAAATCTTTGGCAGTCCTCGCATAAGACTTGCCGAATGGATGGCTAAATTCCCCATTGAGGTTAAGTGCCAGCTGCGGGTCTTAAAC